TGCCCTCCAGTTATCACGAGAGGCAATACACGTGCGGTTGTCTACCGTTCCACACATGGGATGGGAATACCTGTGTGTTTACGGGTGTCGAGGAGACGGCTATTTCTAAGGCTTCCTATTATGCATGGCTTGTATTGGCTGTCATTTCGTTCACTATTAATGTAATACTAATCGCTTTAATCGTTTACTTCAAGAGAAAAGTGTGAGTATTATGTCACTTATTATATTCAAATAAATTGATTTTATAATAACTAATAAAATGTTAATTTGTTTGCATTTGCAGTCCATTGATGTCCAATGTTTTGGCAAAATTCAGAAGAGGTATACCTTCGGGAGACTGAAATGAATGGCGATTTATGAGTGGATTCTCATCATTTTATTCATAATTATATCTATATTTTTGTTACATAAAGCATATGATAATTCAAAGTAAATTTATATTGTATATTAAGGCACTAAATAACACTACTGTATAAAATTAATAATATATTAAATAACATTTAATTGGAGAATATTTTGATGTATTATTTCCCAGTTTTGTTATTTTGTGACAACTTTTCAAACTTCTCGCGAATACTACTTATATATCCGTTCGAGACATTAGACTCAGTATTACGTGATATACTACTCGACACCCTCTTAGGGATGGCACCTATTCATTGCAAACATAATTATATATTCTTGCTCAATTATAAATTATATTAGATTACCTGTATTTGCTGCGGGTTTTATATTTTCATGATGTGGAGAGACTGGATTTACATTGCTTATTTTGTCCATTTTTAATTTATTGCCCTCTTAGGGATGGCACCTATTCATTGTAAACATAATTATATATTCTTGCTCAATTACAAATTATATTAGATTACCTGTATTTGTTGCAGGTTTTATATTTGTATGTCGTGGCGAGACTGGATTTACATTGCTTATTTTGTGCATTTTTAATTTATATGTTATAATGTATTTAAAAAACAAATAATCGTCGGAATTGTGTTGAGCTATGAATTTATTAAATGCATTAATATTTGAGTCAATAATGTCCTTGTTAAGTGACCATGCATTTTTATTTATTATATCAATGCACTCAGGTCTACGGTATGAACCGTAGTTAATCATTGAATTAAAAACACCTAGTATATTTTTAGTGCTTTCGTGTAGTGATGTGTTTGTATATTTAACCAGTTCACTTCCACTGAAATAAGTGATTAAGGTTTTAAAATTTCAATTATAAATACAATTACTATTTCTATTCAATACTTACTCTAATATAATATCAAACAATTCCATCGAAAGTATACCCAAACTATAAATGTCTGCTTTTGTCGTATACTTTGATTGATCCAAATCTGGGGCCATANATAAGTGATTAAGGTTTTAAAATTTCAATTATAAATACAATTACTATTTCTATTCAATACTTACTCTAATATAATATCAAACAATTCCATCGAAAGTATACCCAAACTATAAATGTCTTCTTTTGTCGTATACTTTGATTGATCCAAATCTGGGGCCATATATTTAGGAGTTCCCACATTTCTGGTGTGACTCTGAGATACCTTTTGGTGCTCAACAATAAGGACCAAATATTTCACAATTATTTACAGCGCTTTAAAGTTATACTCAAATAAAACCTCGTTTTCGATAACATTTTTTGAGAGAAATTAAAGGTTGAAAAGTCTATGGACTACACAAAAAATGTAAACTTCAATAATATAACTTATATATTATTATAATTTATTATACAAATAATTAATAGAATATAACTAATAAATATGAGTTTATAATATAGAAAAAGATCAATCAATGAATAAAAATGAATGACTATTCATCAATAATTTTTAATTGAAAACAGTTTTCTCATTCAAACTAATAAAAGTTTTCAAACTTAGCTTGCATCGATTATTCATTGATTGATCTTTTTGTATATTATAAACTCATCTAATATACAGTGATATTGATGTTAAACAATTAAATATTTATATTGATTTAAACAATCGCTGGATAAGCTCATTGAAAAAGTGATCATGATGCTTTAGTTGTGACACAATTAATTCAAAACTTGTATCCTTAAGAATATTCCGATCTATAGCCCAATCATTATATTTATGCAAAACAAGTGAACATTCAGGCCTTCGCTTCCATTGAGGGGTCGACAGCATTGACAGCAATATATTTTGCAATGAATTTACTTTTGTGTTTAGGATCTCATTCCTCGAGTAAATGCTTTCAGTACTGTATAGAAGTTGTAAACATTTATTTATTATTACATTTTTAAAATTCTTTTTTTGCATACCTATCAAGGTCAATAAAAAACAAATTGAAGTCAAATATCTCTTGCCCAATTAATGCCAGACTATAAATGTCTACTTTATGTCCATATATACCCTGAGCTACTTCAGGTGCCTGGTACTTTATTGTGCCCACACCTGTAGTGTGTTTATCACTAGTCATATAATTGATAATTTTGTCGTGAACTGTGCAAGTGTAATTTTAAAAAATTATATTATATCTACATAATTTATGGATACAAAAACTTATGAAAGTTATTTTTGAAGTTAAAATTCAAATG